AACACCTTCATTAGAACACTCACTCAGAGCTTTCTTGTCCCTACTGACACATGTTGTATCAACCTTTGCGATCCCCATCGCCTGGCCTCGTACTTATTCCTTTCCATTCCTGCATCCCTTCCCTTCCACAATGCCACCGAAACAGCTCCTCTGAGGTGCTCCAAACTTCCATGTTCCAAAATACCATCCAATACCTGTTATCTTCTCAAAAACTTCAGAATGGGTGGCTGTTTCTTTTATGCAATATCATCTTCTCAGTTTCTGTGACTCGGTTCAGCCCTGATTTTACTCCTGCATCTCAGTCACTCTGTGTTATCTGACAAAGTCTATCTTCCTCCACCCATCACCATGGACATTGCTGAAGTGTCACATTACTTTTCTCACTTTATTTCCCCCTCCTAGATGGTTTTTTTTACTCCCAGAAATTCAGTTAGTTAGATGACTAACCAATTTTTATCTTCAATTTAAACCTCTTTTTTAGATGAGGAATTGCATATCCAGCTGTTTGCCTAACACCTTCACTCCTATTTCAATAGGAGCGAAATAAATCAAACTCCTAAATCAAACTCAAAATAGTCTCTATACAATTGGGTGTTCCCTAAGACCTGAATAAGTCACACACTTGTTTTTATTCTGCTTACCAGAAACAAAAACATCATCCCTGACACTGCTTTTTATTTCTCCCTTTGCTATGCAATCTACCCTAAACCTTGTGGGAGTGAATCTCCTAAACATTCTTCTGAGCTGAGCACTCCGCATCACTACCCCACTGTCACTCTGCTTACTAGCATCAGCATCTCACCTAGATTTCTGCTGTGATTCCTAACTAACCTGCACTATCCTCTCTGGCCCTCTTCAATTCATTCTTTACATTTGGGCCACAAAGATGCATTTTTGAAATGCAAAACAAAAAATCAAACAAAACAACATTTCTATTCGTTTTTACAACTCTGAGGATAAAGACAAAACTACCTGAAGGGACCAATCAATTTCTCTGGCCTCATCTTCAACTGCCTCCCCCCTCCAATCCCTTTGCACCTGCCATAATGCCTTTTAAAACCCTCCATAGTTTCCATAACTTCCTTTCACCATAGAGCCTTTGCACGACCTGCTTTTTGTGAAGATCTGTGTTCTCTATCTGTAGTCCAAGTGGAGCATCACTTCCCCAGGAATCATTTTTGTGAGTTTTCTGTTATACACTCTCATACACTGTCCATGTCCTCACTGCAAGCACACTTTTTCTCACGGGAAATTTCATAGTGGTGTGTTTATTTGATTAAAGTTCACCTCCTCCGATTGGACTTCATGATTAATGAAGGCAAAGTCACACCCATATGCACACCACTGTATTTCTGGTACTCAGCATTCAGTTTCAATGACTAGACCAGATAATAGCAAATTTTAGACTGAGCTTATTAACCTGTTATCCCTAAAGATTATCTTGATACTATTACTATCATTTCTATGAATAATATTTCTTTTCTGACCATTGCCACTACTCTCTTGTTTTCCAATAATAACATTAATAGTTCCCTAAGACTTTTGTTGCAATCTGGTAAACTAAAGCCATGTTGTGCTGCTGTAACTGATCCCCAAAACTACAACATTTTAAGTGCATCAAAATCTTCGAAGCATTATGGGAGCCATAAGCACTCCACATTATGAAACCCGTTATAATAGTACAAGGCTTAACTTAGACAGTAGCAGGTTTTAGGATAACTCAAAATGAAACCCTGTCAGGTGACATTGAAAAATAAGGAAACACAAAACTGCTCATTGTATTCCCACTCTCATCCATGGACCCAGAGCCCTGAGACACACACAGGGACAAAATACTGTGAAAAGAGAACAGAATCCCCTCTGAGCCAGCCCCTCTGGGAACATGGGGACAGGACTTAGACACACACTATAATGGAAGGCATCAAGGGAAGATGACTTATGTGACAAGAGAAAGGAAACAGGGAGAGGTGATCAACCCAATCATTCCGCATTTTCAAATGTAGATTTTTTATACACCACTTCAATTTGCATTTGTTTATGTACTTCCTAAGTGTTTGCACTTCAGGTGTGCTTTGCTTACCCACGTAGCTTGTAAACTTGAAAATCACACAGGGCATGAGAAAGAAATGGTGCAAGCAAGAGGAGAATAAGCGAGAGCTTAAAGAATAAAGGAGAAAAAGAAGATGTGTCATTGGGGGTCACATGTGGCCCAGTTCTTGGATGGCAACTGCCTTCTCCTTAGCTCCATGCCAACCTTACATTTCTGGTCACTCTGTGGTGAAGGGTTCCCCCACTCCCTTCTGTTTTTCTCTTTTCTATTTTACTCACTTTGTACCCAAACGCACAATAACAGAATCATTTCTCTAACACTGAGGCCACCACTTTTCCTCTGATCCAACTGATAGCAACAAAGACGCCATCAGAAGACTGGGGCTTCTCCAAACACAGAATAGATGGGACTTCTGCCTTGCCAGTGATTTGCAATTTTTAGTAGGTACAAACTTAGCTCCTTTGCTTTTCTTTACTTTAAGAAAGACCCTTTCCTCAAAGGCAACACCTTTCTCCTTCCAGTATAATATACTTTTATTTATTGCTGTCTTTATTTTTGAGTCATTGTATATTCTGTTTCCTAGCAACCCATGTTGCCAATTCTCAATGGAGACATTCAAACATTAGGTCCTCAGGATAGTATAGTTTACTGGTTTAGTCCAAAGATTAAAAAATGTGTCTGAAGCCAAAGTCAGTGTGTACTTGTGCTTATGCTCTATTGGGTTCCCAAATTAAGCCAACATAAAAAGAGAAGACAGGCAGTCCCCATAGCTCAGTGGGAAGGGCGCCAACCACATACTCCCAGGCTGGTGAGTTGGAATCCCACCAGCTAAACAACAATGACAACTACAAAAAAAAAAAAAAAAAAAAAAAAAAAAACCCAAAACTGAGTGTTGTTGTGGGCGCCTGTAGTTTCAGCTACTTGGGAGGCTGAGACAGTAGAATTGCTTAAGCCCAAGAGTTTGAGGTTACTGTGAGCTGTGGTGTCACAGCACTCTACCAAGGGTGACATAATGAGACTCTGTCTCAAAAAAAGAAAAGAAAAGAAAAGAAAATGAAATTTAAAAAAATATAAAGAAGAAGAAGAGATTTTTAAAATAAAAATCAGAAATAGAATTCACCCAGTATAATCATTATTATTCTTAATCGAAAACTACAATTTGCCAAACTCTGATCCTGTGGTAGAAATTGTACAAAATGCTTTATATAGATTATCTCATGTAACCATTGGAACAGTGATACACATGAAAGAAGTACGATAATTATTCATATTTGTTATGTAAGAAAACAAAAAGAGACTGAAATAACTTGGCAAGAATGGAATATATAATAAATGACTGAGCCAGTGTTCAAATCCAGAAATATGTGAGCTAAACATTGTTGTATATAGGTCTTTCAAACACACTACACTCTCAATGGAACTGAAGTTTGTTTGTTTGTTTGTTTTCTCCTGAAAAACAGCAAGAGAATGGGGCATTGTAAGATAGTAATTGATGATCTTGGTCCATAGTGGGCTGCTCCAGTATCATAGTCTTAGAGCAGGTACGATATAAGAATGGAGACAAGGTAATGAGGTATACCTGTTGCTTGTTCTGGGTAGCTCCATGCATCCTTCAGCATGGCCTTTGTAAATTAATTTTTGTTGTTTTTTTCTTATATTACCAGGCCTTTTTTCCCTTGAGCTAAAAACAGTCCAGTTCCAGTGCATTTTAGATTTGTTGGCTTTCATTTTCATTCTTTTCCATTAGCAGAAATGGAAATCATTTACTTTAGGACCAGGTAATTTAGGGCACTTGTCATTGTTTTTCAAATGGGCTCAGAGAATTCACATGACAGTTTACAAGTCAAATTGATTCATAGCTAGAAGAGAGCTAGAACTTAAACTTAGAATCCCTGCCTCCAAATGCAGGCCTCTGAAGTAGGCACGGTGTGAATGCTACTTGTCTACAATCTCCTTGTCCCCCTTACCTTCCCTGAACTAAACAGTGTCTCCAAAGACACTTTCATGAATTCACCCACAAACCTTTCTCCACTTACATCTCCATGAATGGCACCACCATGCAGGGATGCGTGCCAGACACCCACACATGGCCTTCAATTTTTCTGTCACCTTCACTTTACTGCCCTTATCGTATAAAGTACTTTGTGACCACGTTGTGTCTGTTTTATGCCCAATGCCTAAACTTTGTCATTCTCTTTCTTTATCTCCCCAAACTACCACTGTCTGTCCTCTGAACTACTAGACACTCTCCTAACTTGACTCTACCTTCTCCTTCGTGTCCTCCTTCACCCTGTTCTCATACAAAAGCCAGTATGATTGCTTCACAGCACAAATATAATCAGGTCACAAATGCATGCCATCCTTTTGTTAGGAATTCTTCAATGTCTTCCCATGTCTTTGAGAAAAAATAGAAACCTTTACCATGGCTATAAGGTCCTTACCTGCCTCCTCCCTTAATTTCTGCATTATAGTCCCACTGTCACTTTCCCATTTCCCCGAACACTGCAAAGCTCTTCATGCAAGTTATTTCTTCTTTCTGGATCATTTGTAACCCCATCCCACCCCTTCCCCACCTCCTAAATTGTGTTCAGGTCTATTGATCCTTTGGACTTCAGCTAGGTATTAACCTGGGCTCTATCATAGATTCTTACACAAGCTATTGTAGTCCCCACTATTACTCTTGTGATATTACATTTATTTGTGGAATTATTTGATCAATTTCTGTCTCTCTTACCAGATAATATCTCTTTTTGGAATTTAGAATAAATATTTTTATTATTTGGAATAATTTATGGAATTATTTGATCAATTTCTGTCTCTCTTACCAGATAATGCCTCTTTTGGGGTGAACTTTCATATGCTTGGTAGCACCATACCTAGCACACATATTTGTTAAATGAACGAGAGCTGATGCACTTCCTCCCCTCTACCCCCTCTAAGTTATGCTTACCATGTGTCTGAAGGAGAAGGTTGTAGATTTTATTCTGAATGCCCCGCGGATACAGAGTAAAGCTGCACTCGTACTTTCCACTGAGTGAGGAAGACATATTTCTCAAATGCAGAGTCCACTGTAATACCTTCTCGGGTGTTTCTCTGAAAGCCACCTGGGATTCACAGGGACGTCCATGGGCACAGTAGAAACCGTATTGGGGATGATAAAGGGCAATCAGGTCCACCTTACTGGTGACCCTGGACCATTGTGTCTGCACCAAGTAGCCCGTGTTCTGTGTTTGGCAGGTCAGATTGACATCGGAGCCAGGTAGGGCATAAACGTCTTCTCCTGCATTGAATGTTTCTTCCCATACCCCTGAAAGGGAGAGACATGAGCCATCAGTGTACATAATTCACACAGAGCACTCTGAACGGGAAACTCTGGTCACTTCAGTGAGGTGAGGAGGCAGCTGAGGAAATCTCTCCTTGGCTTCCTTAGAAATGGAAAGGAGCTTGTACATAATTCAGGTGGAGAAGCATGAGACTCAATAGAAATGAGGAGGCATTGACTAAGGGAAACGAGGTAATTATTGACTTCTAACTATTTATATCTTTGTTGGTCTTTCCAAAAAATAATTTTTCTGATTACCTGTGAATGAAATGAAGTCTATTTAAAAATTGAAACACATTAGCAAACTTAGCATGACAATCATTCTTACATTTAATAGAATTGGCCTTTGGGGTTTATAAATCAGCTGCTACATATAACACAAGGTGATGCTTTCCAAAACTGCAAAAATAGCTAATGTACAGAGCAGATTCATTTAAATATACATGTTTACAAGAGACTTTTATACATGTTACCTTGTTTAATCCTTCTCATGTACCGTAAGAGTCACATTGTTAACCCTATTTATAAAGGGGGAAACTGAGGCATGGCACTATGAAGTGATTTGCTAAAAGTCATGCCTCCAATAAAAGCCATGAATTCAGTGGCCTGGAGCCTGTAGTCTTTTTACAGCTTTCCTTTTTTTTTTTTCCATTTAAACATCTAATTTTTTTGATCTTTATAAAGTTTTAAATTATGTTTGATAATCCTATTTCATGACATTGAAATGCTCGATAATATTCAGTTGATTAAGAAGTACACAAATGTTGTACTATCATGCCAATTTAAATGTTAAATAAAAAGAGACCAAAACTTAGGTTAAAACAAGTACATTGTGATGGAAATATGTATGGTTTTTAAGACACTTTCTTAGCTTTAAAATTTTTTTGACAGTTACTATTTCTAATATTTTAATTTATTTTTTATTTTAAGAATATTACAGAGTGCACACATTTTGGTTATATAGCTTGCATTCGTACATTTTAAACCTATGTTACAAGTATGCCCTTCATATGTAGATGTGTGAGTTTGCCCTATGCCTCCTGGCCCCTTCCTGCTTCGAGATTTACCTGTCCTTCTCCCCTCACCGGATTGATTTCTGTCGGGTTTTACTTCCAGAGGTGCATGTAAGTGTCGGTCAATTAGTTTCAATTTAGTATTGAGTACGTGTCTAACTTTCTTAACCTCCAAATTCAGTCTTGTTGAGTAGAGTAACAAAACAGACATCCAGTCCATGCAGACTGAAAGGAATTTCCACTCTAGGTAGTTAGATCTCCTGAGGAGAAGAGGGAAGAAAAACTCTAGGTAGAGATTCCACTCTGTTTCATCTCTAATCAGTGCTCTGAAATACTAGACATAAAGAAAGGAAGATTCTCTCTGCCATCAGCAATCTGACCAAGTGGTCCTGGGCACTTAAAATATGTTAAGCATTGAGCTTTTGACATGCTTTCAATAGCGCTGGCCGGAGCTTTAGCATTAACGTGGAGTACTGTTACAGGCATGATGTATTATTGTGACAAGTACTGCTGAAGTTCACAAAGGGAAAAGATAAAAAGATGACAAGCAACTGAGACGCAACAGGGCTCTCAAACGTACTTGACAAATGGGAATTATCACACTTTTGTGCAGAAGGTTGGGTAGGCAGAGGTTAGTACACTTTAAAGCAACTTCCTGTGAGCTATTGTTTGCCTGATAATATGGCTCTGATCCTATCTGGCGTTATATTCCAAAGTATCTTTGGTTTAGAAATTCTCCGTGAAATTTTTGTAGCTATACCAGAAAGCACAGTTTATCCTTCAGACGCACAGCCTCACTGTAATACTCATACACTATGGGCTACAGAACTAATCTTTCTTCTATTTTTAAATAGACCCGTTAGTATCTTGTCCCCACTGTCATAAGGATTCTACTTTGTCCTCCAGGTTTGTACCTACCCGGCCCTTATTAAAATTCAACATGTGTTTAACTCCCAAGACCTTAGTATTTGGAGGAGAGATGCTTGTTATGGCGAAAAGGAAAACTTGAGAGAAGGAAAAAAAAGTTGAGCAAGATCACTGATGGCTTTGTGATTCTTTTCAGCTTTCCAGAGTTGTTCTGACTATCATTTGGAGAGCATTTCATTTCCAAGAAACACAATTTCCCAATTACTCTGGGGAGCTCATTAGTTAGGAAATGGGTGAAAATGCCTCAGAGCGGCGGCACAAACCACCCATTCTCTTTTCGATTTTAGTGTTCCTTAGTAATCATTTCTAGACTCTAATATCTCTCCGATAACTGCCACTTAAATACAGAACTGAAAACCTCGGTAACGATTTGCCCTTTGGTGATCTATTTCAGCAGCGGCAGTCACAGGCATTTCAAATGAACAGACGACAGTGGCCCATTTGACAAGAAAGGACAACTGCAAGTCTTACCCCTGATGAAGTGGATCTGGATGATGGAATAAACAGCACAGTACGTCCATGTTTTCTCCATCGTCTCCTGAAGACCTTACACCAGCATTTCCATAATGCTCACTGAAGTCAATTAATGTCTTCAAGCAAACTCCACCTACCCTCTTCGTGCTAAAAAAAAACAAACCAAAACCCAAATCTACCACACATCTGGGTCTGTTTATCACTTGGCAAGCCCCCAGGAAATGAAACGTAGACAGGAAAGTAATGTGGTTCAGGGCTGAGTAAAACCTTCAACAGAACAATGTTGAAATTGTTCTTTGAAACCCCGTGTATTACCTTCTTTAAAAGTCTTTTCAGGATCCAAAGATTCTCTGGTTTAGGATCCCTGTGTCAGTCAAGCTGCTTCTAAAATCTGAACACAGGAAATCATGCAGAGCGAGTCACAATGTGCTTTTTATACATTTCCTTTCAAGAGCCCAAAGTCATTTAACAAATGTGAGCTTGGTGTCTTTCATAATAGTTTTTCTGTTCAATCTTAAGATATGTTTTCTTTCTAGAATTGCTCCAGGGTGAAAGAACAAAGAATTACCATCTTTAATTTTAATAAAATCTGAACAGTAATAGGGAGTAGAGTCAGCTATCAAACTGAATTTTATTATCTCTCTTCTTGCAGGGAAATACACGTTTCCTGAGAGTAAAGAAGTGAGAGCTCCTTTTTTACCCCTCGTCTGTGATAAGCTCGAGGCCTCACAGGGAAGTTTCCCCCCATGCTGGCTGGAGGCCTTTTCTGCTGATAGCAGAAGTTTATCTGTGCCTACCAAAATCTATGTAGAAGGCAGTAACAATCAGATCCCCCGAACAGAGAATTTCCCACTCGATGACCTATCAGGCCTGTTAAATCTGCCCTATTACTTCCATTTATAGAGAACTGCTACTGGGTTTTAGGAAAGTAATCCCTTGGTAAAAATGTCTAATTATTCATGGAAGGACATGATGACTTTTTTTTTGTTATGATTCTGTGATAAAATTGTATTTGTTTTCCAGTTCAGGAAAAAATAGGCTATCTTCATCCACCAACATTAAGAAAACAAGCTTTAGGCAGCATACTACAGCATAAATTTAATGGACAAAGAGTAACAATGAATACATTTATGTGTCTCTATACAACTACACGAATGATTGAATGATTGGTAAAACTGTATGAATGACTGGCAAAATATACTGTGACCTTAATCTCATTAATAGAATATAAGCACCAACCCAGCAAGACTGAGACAAATAAAAGCTCTGAATAATGCCAGGTGTGGTAGCTCACACCTGTAATCATGGCACTTTGGGAGGCTGAGGCAGGTGGATTGCTTGAGACCTGCGTCAGCAAGAGCAAGACCCAGTCTCTACTGAAAATGGAAAAACTAGCCAGGAGGCTGAGGCAAGACACAGCACTCTATCCATGGTGACAAAGTGAGACTCTGTCTCAAAATACAAAACAAAACAAAAAACACAGCAACTTTGCATGAATAACATTTCTGAGTGGTAAGTCTTTTGAGATTAGGTGGAGACAATTTTGGCCAGGTTGTCATAATGTATATGCTGATTTCTTTCCCACATAAGGACTTGTGAGGCATAGGAAGGATCTTAAAACATAGGGAATTACTTTTGCCAGTCAGGAGATGAGAATTTAAACAGAAGAGGAATTTCCATGTAACAAAACAAAGGCTACTGTCTTGTGAGATGTCCAGGCTCCCTGCTGTAACACTGCAAATACTTGCCATGACAAATGTCATACTTTATTCATTAATCCTCAGCTAATCATTTTTTTCTGCAAAGAGCAGAAGATGGAGCTCCTTATTTCCTCATTCAGAGCTCCTTATCCCTTTGCCCCCCTGACCCCCATCAATCTCCCCACAAATTTCAGATCACTGGAGATGTTGGGTTATGTGGTGCTGACAGTGATTTTCCACAGAGGACCGAGGAGCTCAAAGTCGTTGCTAGAAGGGCAGGAGAAGATGGAACTGTTCTGGATCCCTTCTCCTTTCCTTTGTCTCTGGAAATTCCAGGGAATCAAAGTGATGGAGCATACCAGCAAAAATAGGCCAGGAGAGGTTCTAGGAAGATTTTTTTTGGAAGATCTTAACACGCCTGTTGGTATCTCTATTAAATTGGGACACATTACAAGCCTGTAGAAGGGATTCCATTACTTCATTCCATCTTTCATCTGAAGAGGATTTTACCTAAGTATAAACCAATAGAAATCCACATTTATTAAATTGGCTACGAACAACACCCCTTTCAAAGTATTTAGAAGTCTCTTATCTCTTATTGCATTAAAGTGAGGCAATTCTTAAAAAAAAAAAACAACAAAAAACTCTTAGGAAAAAGAAAATGTCATTCACTTTCCAGAGCTATGGACTCACTTTGATAGACTCCTTGGCTTTTATTGGGATGGACTACCCATTCAGTGGCTGCTCAGCAAATCTGGACTCTCTGGGTATTATTCAGGGCCTGGTCCATTGTTCTTACATCTAGAAACTTCTGAGGTCTGAAGCTATCAAATTTGACTAATTTTCCTTTGGGACTCACCCAGACGCTGAGAAAGAAAAATTTCAGATGCTCACAGACTGTTCATTGAACGCCCACACATCTGGTGTCCCGCAGCTGCAAGACCCAGACAAGGGCTTCTCTATGGCTGTCTGCGTGCAGCAGGTGGCAGCAGCACCACACAGACCAGCATGGCCATAGCAGGCGATGGGAATTGCCCCCACCACTTTTCATTCCTGGCAATATTTTCTAAAGGCCCTTTCAGCATAGGGATAGGTATTCTCTATACTTAAAAATAACTCTTCTATGAAAGTCATGTCAATCTTTTTCTATTATCCTCCCTACTCACCGAATCCCTATTGCACAGTGTTTCTTTTGCCTTAGATTATAGCCTGTTGCACAGAGAAAACAGAAGCAATGTTTCACACACAAAAAGAAATTCTTGAACTTCTTGAACTTCAGAAGCAAATTCAATTATTTACAAAGGGAAGCAAGAACACACATTATTTCTGCTAGAGGCAAGCTGTGATTGCATGTTTTGGACAAACTTTTTAAACGCTCTACAGACACTTCTACTCGATGAGAAAAGGACATTTTCAGAAATAGGAAGTTGAGCAAAAGGTAAACTTACTTTTGTGGTTAACTCAAATATTACCGCCCTGTCTTGGATTTTATTTTTCAACTACTTACATAAAATATAAAAATGTGAAGTGTTATACTTCTGCACATGTTTTCCAAAATGCTTAGAAAATATGATGCTTAATGTTTCAGTTAATTAGAAAATATTTATTGAGTGTCAACACTGAAGAGATTATGGAAGATATATAGTTTTAGATAATTTTAAAAAACAGAAGATAAAACATGGCCCTTGATCTTAAGGCACTTACCATTTCACTGTGGGAAGGCAACTGTGTGCACTGAAAAAGCCACGTGGCATTAAAACGTAGCCTGATTGAATGGGGGAGATGTCATAGGAACTGAGCGGGCCAGAAAAATCTGAAATGTGGAATTTGAGTTTGGCCTTATATAATAGATGTCAGCCTGGTAGAAACCACAAGGTAAGTCATTCCAGGCTGAGGAAACAGGAGAGCCAATAGTTTGGAGTTTTGAAGTTCAAGGCTGATTTAGTGACTGACTAGGCTGTTCTGGTGAAGTAGAGACTGTATTAAGGGCCATTTCTAGCTTTTGTATTTTAAAATTACATAGGACCATATATCTTCAGTAATCTCATAAGAATTAATGCTCAGTAAAAAAAAGCTGTCCAAAAGGTGAGCTTAAATTATGTAGAAATTGAGTTCTAGACTAAGGAGTGTGGATTTTTTCCTTCTTGTCAGAGAGAGTTGCTGTAGATACTCCAACATATGAGTAACGTACTTTAAAAATATTTTTAAAAGATGAATTGGGTGAACATGTGTAAGTTGAAAGGAATAAAAGTAGAAAAGGAAGCAAAAGACCTGTCAAGAGTTTTATGTTTTGTAAGGCACTTTAGGATGAGAGGCTGCTGATTGGCAGTGGCTGTGGCAAAGCATGATGAGAGCAAGGACATTTGCAGAGGAGGGAAGGTATGGTGTCTAATTTGGCATGGCATTGAAATCATCTCTAAAGTTTCATGTCTCAGAAGGACAGAAAGAAAAATCTGTACCAGAGTTAGATTCCCATTGGAAGACCCACCTTGACTCACATACAGTTGTCAAAGGGTCATTGGAATGAAAATGAAAAATAACTTATTATGGTACAGCCAGTGGCCCTACCTTTGTGATAGTAGTTCTTTCTTTTGGTTTTCAATCAAACTCTATGAGTTTTATGAATTACTATGTAATAAAAAAGAAAGAATTTCATGAGACTTTGAACACAACCATCTGTTTTATCACCAATTCCCCCCGTCCTCAATTCCATCTATAAAAGAATAATTTTATTTTAATATATTTTCAGTTACTTCAATACCTGCTCATTGCATGAAAACATTTTCAAAGGATAACAAAGAAAATAAAAATCAGCTGGAATACTAACCACCAAAACCAAACTGAGACTTACATGTTGTGTATTTTTCTAGATATAAACTTATACATGAACAGAATGGATTTTTACTATATTCACATTGAAATAAACTTTTCTTCTTCCTAAAATATTGTAGACATATATGCATATCATAACACAAAGATCCATTTCTTCCTTTTAAAATAGTTGCATAATATTTTATTGAATAGTATACAGAAAAATAATTTTAATTAGGAATAATATAATATAAAAATAATATTTTACTTTGTGTAATAGAATTGTAAATTTAGTTGAATAATTATAGTAAGTAATTTTTGGATGTTTCTTTTTAATGGCTCACCGAAACTAGGAGAGAGAGAGACAAAGACAGAGATTGGGAGAAAGGGTAGAGGAGGAAGAGGGAGGCTTCATAGTTGATTTTGATCAGCCACAGCCTTGGGAATCTAATGTTGACTCAATAATTTAATGTCAATTTTTTCAGAAATACATTGGAAAAAGCTAGTAATATTTCTAGTGTTACATCAACATAGCAAGAATTGAAAGAAATATTTTAAATTCTATATTCT